GTGAGCTGCTGCTCAAGTATGAAATACTTGCTTCAGAACCAAGAATTAAATATTTCTCTTGACAGTACCTGCCTGGCCAGCTTTTCCTTTGCTGTTCCTTTGCTCAATCCTAGAAAAACAGCAACATAATGGGCAAAGTTCATGAATTATGTATAAATAATAACAAATTTCCCATTTTTCATCTCAAGACAAGAGATCTCAACATTCCTTCTGGTTGAAGACAAAAAAAATTCCTCTGAAAATAAGCATATGATCCTAATTTCTACTAAAATCTAACTAGCGCACACACACACACACACACCAAACACTGTATCCACCTCAGAATAGGCTACCAAGCAGTGTGCTACAATGTCTATCCAAACATTTTCACTGAAAGTGAAAACTGCCCCTAAAGAAGCCCAGTGCGGGGTAGTTGTGTCTGCAGACTTTCCTGTACTTCTACTCCCTTCTCGTTGGCAAAACCTTGAGACTGTTGATACATCTGCATTCAAGGAAATTCCAAGCCTTCCACTTTCGACTGCAGAAATTCTCTTTCAGAAGTTACATGCTTTCATTTCCTCCCTGACCACAGGGTCCTAAGCGATGTGTCCTGCATTCTGCGTAGCAAACATTACCAAAACCTCACATTTCACACTGCAATAACACAATGGTCTTTGAGGCCAGCCAGCTGGTCCGAAATCACTAATGCAGTTTTACAAGCTTATGGAATCATCAAGGTTGGAAAAGACCTCCATGATTACCTAGTCCAGCTGTCCACCATCGTTGGCCACCACACCATATCCCTATGGATCATTCAGGGGGAAGCTCTTTACTATGTGAGTAGTGAGGTGCTGGAACAGGCTGCCAGAGAGGCTGTGGATGCCCCGTCCCCATAAGTGTTCAAAGCCAGATTGAATGGGGCCTCGGGCAGCCTGGTCTGGTGTTACATGCGGAGGTTGGTGGCCCTGCCTGTGTCAGGGTGGTTTGAGATTCCTGATGTTTGAGGTCCCTTCCAACCCGGGCCATTCTGTGATCACAACCGTGTGACTCTTGAACAACTCCACAGATAATGACTCCACCACCCCCACTGGGCAACCACATCACCCCTACCAGGGTTAGGTCGGGTGGCAGTCAGGGAAAGGATCTGCACCAGAGGGCGGTGGGAACGGGCTGCACAGGGCAGCGGGCACGGCCCCGAGTTGCTGGTGCTCAGGGGACATTTGGACACCGTTCATAGGGTTGGATTCTGGGGGGGTACAGTGCGGAGTCGACAGTGCTGATCCCCGTGCGTCCTTTCCAGCTCAGGTCCTGCGCTTTCACTCCAGTACCGTGACAAGGCGCTGGCTCCACAAGGCACGAGGAAATGACGGCACCGGCAGCCCCCGCCCCAGCCAGCCGCTGCCGAACACCGCTCGCCCGCGGCTGGCCCCGCAGCTGGGGGCAGCGGCCCGCGGGAAGGCCTCCCGCAGCGCAGCGCAGCGCGGCCCCGCCCGGCCGCCGCCATCGCGTCCCAGGCTTACCTTCCGCGATGATCCGCCTGATGCGCAGCTTCATCTCGCCCATCTCCACCGTCTGCCCTACGAAGTCGTTCTGATCGCGGCTGGCGGCCCCCAGGGTGCCGGGGCCCGCCAGAAAGTCCAGGGCGGACTGGAGAAGCGACATGGCTCCGCCTGGCTTCGGCCCGCGCTTCCCGGGCGGCACCGAGGGAGAAGGAGTAGGGAGGAGAGAGGTGAGTGCGGGGGGCTCCGCCGAGCTACCGACCGCGGCGTGGGACGGCCTCCTCAGCCACCGTACCCTCAGCTCCGGTCTGCTTCCGGGAACGCTACGTCACTTTTGACCTCACGCCGCCACCTCCCCCCTGCCGCCCCTCGGCCCGGCGCGCCGCGCGGTCGGACACGCCCTCTCTCTGGAAGCCGCGCCCCTTCTGTAAAAGCGACGCCCCCCCGCTGAAGATCGCTTTGCCGCCCTTGGCGGCGGTTGGGTTTGAGAGCCGTGCAGTGAGACTGCTTGCTAGTGGGAGGAGCGCTGGAAGCCACAAGGTCTCCTCCGAAAGTCCTGTCCTCACTTCCTGTCTGCTGCCTTCAATAGCTATCGCTGATGCAGTCACAGTCGTCATCAAGTTCCTTGGGGGCTCAGATAGCTGTGCTGGTTCTGTCCCGTGTTGATGATGAGTAATGAAGTGGTATTTCTCAGTCAGCCTCCACAAACTGACGACTTGCTGTTCTTCATGTAGGAATCATAGAACCATAGAGCAACCCAAGTTGGAAGGAACCTGTAGTGACCACTGTTTGCAGCCCCTGGCTCTGCACAGCGCCACCCAAAACTCAAACCCTACATCTGAGAGTGGTGCCCAAATGCGCCTCGAATTCACTGAGCTCAGGGCCGCAGCCACTGCCTTGTGCAGCCCGTTCCATGCCCACCACCCGCCGGTGCAGACCCTTTCCCTGACCCCCACCCGACTTTCCCCGATGTACTTCCATGCCTTTAATTTGCACTTATGGGTAAAGTACAGCTGGCTATAATGCTGTGCTTCCTTCACTGAGCTGTAATGTCTCAGTAATCAAGAAGTGTGGTCTTAAGCAGTAGCAGATGTGCAGTGAGATTGCAATCTTTTTTATCTTTTACTGAAGAAAAAATAATGTTTATTAAAGTTGGATTATATGGAGAATTTCCTTCTATTTGTAACAGAAGTCAGCTGCTGTTTTTGATTCGACCTCTAGGTAAACAATCTCTTTTACTGTTATAAATCATACCACTATCAGCGCTTTGAGAACAGCAGACTCTGTATTGACATCAGGAGCATCCTACCTTCAGTCTGTTTTTGTTTCTGACTTCTTCAGATTTGTTTTTCAGGCAAAGGCTGGAATTATTTGAGACTAGCAGACACTGTTAGGCTTACTACACCATGCCGTTCAACACATTTTGCCCTTGTCCTAACTTAACCTGCACATTCCTCTTTTAAGAATCATTCACATAAGGCCCCTACTGGAAAAGGAACAGGATCTTTGTGAGGAACCAGAGATTCAATTCTTCTGCACATAAAGGTTTGGATTTTGTTAGCATCTTTCTGATTCCCAGAAGAAGAATTGCATCAGAAGGGGAACATGAAACAACTGGAGTTCAGACTTTAGCTTAAATGAAAATTGAGACTTCTTCCTTATCTTCAGTAACAGACTGAATGACCCAGGCTACAGTGACCTCCTTTCTTTTTTCTTCTGCCAACTCTCTTTAACAGTTCCTGACGGATTCTCAACTAAGTGTCATGTTCACCCCAGCACAAAAGACACAGCTCAAAAACTTGAAGAAACCACTGACAAAACAGCAGACGTATTTCTTTCAGCAGCAGTACAGGCGCTTGCCTGTTTGAAATGCCCTTAGAATCTTGCCTAAGTCTTGGTTCCCTGTCAGTAATATGTGCATCTTTGAAGTATAAAAAATAGCAAATTGATTTTATTTAAACTTTCATTTTGTACTACATCATCTAGAAAAGTAATTTGATGTGGCTATTGAGAAAGGATCTTAGCACGAGAAGTAAACAACTCAAAATTTCAGTGAAAAAATTGCATGCAAATAGGCACCAAGCATGACACCTACATTACATGACAGATTCCATTGGGAATTTGTTATAAGAAAGATTGCAGGAAAGTAACCATTTTGCAAGTAAAGGAGTTATAAGGAGAAAAAAAAAAAAAAAAAAAGTAGGATAAGAAGCAAGAATGCTACACTTGGAAAAGTCAGGATAGATTTCACATCCCCAGCTACTACAGATATGCTAGGAGAGGTTTGTCATAGGTAAGGTTTTCCTGGACAAAAGTTGGAAAGAATGACAGTGTAATATCTCACTTCCCATCTTTCTATTCAGCTGAGTTGACAAGCAGACTACGAAGTAGGACAGGGTTTGGAATATGTGCAACTGTTTCAAAAAATCTCTGCAGTAATGAAGTTAAGCTTTTTTTTTTTTTTTTTTTTTTTTTTGGTATAATTTGTAATACTTCAATTTTAACAGTACTTGGCCAAAAAGATTAACATCTCATTTGTTATTTACACATCTTGAAAGTCTTCTGGATGTTTTTGTTGGAAGTTGATAAAGGCAGTAAGGCCTACCTGTTTTTATGTTGGCATCCTGGAAAGCAGAAGAAAACAAGGCTAACTTGCATGCCTGTTCTGACAAACAGAACGGACTGCTACAGGACTGTTGAGGTCCTGATGAGAAAGTTATGCTCTTGTCTTCCTATTTTTATTCTCATCCACTCCTCTTCCTTCTACAGCCTCACCCAGAGGAAGCCAAGAGTACTTAGACCAAAAGTCTTGGATGGGGAAGGTAGTAAAGAAGATATTTCCTTTTTGACCTATCGTAAGGTCAAGGCAGTGGAGAGCTATAAATTGAGGTATTATTAAATGACAAGTTTGTTCTGTTTACTAGCATTTAGTAATGATATGCACTTTTATTTCCATATCAGTAATTGCTTTCAGCTCATTAGGAATTCAATGAATTAAAGAGTAATGAATAAGCATTTTGCATCTTTCTGTAGCATTTAAAAGAAATACAGCTAGCAAAATGAGATACATAATGTCTGCATGGACCTAGATAAGATTTATTAGGCTGAGCTCAGCTTGTATTTTTTGATGCAGTAGCTCTCATGAAATACTCTGAAAGCATGAGTCATTAAGCTAATTCTGACACAAAGCAAACAGAACAGGTTTTGACCTTTCTTAGTATTAATGTCTGCATTTCGCCTGCAGAAACACTTCATCTCTTCTGAGATGAAAAAGACAGGCACTTTCATAGCTGGGCTGGCACTTCTGTTTTGTTCTGTAGTTGGCTTGTCTAAGTTTGAGTGAAACTATGCCTTTTTGAAAGCTTTAGGCTTAATTCTGCCTCAGGGACTCTCATAAAAGCCATTAGATTTTGGTAGTGGACATCTAAATTCATTATTTGATTTATTTTTTCCCTAGAACAGCAACTAATACCTCTACATGTTATACTGTATGTTATACTCAAATAATTTTACAGTAACAAGTTTCTTTCATACATGTAACTTTATTATCAGAATATCCATACAGCAGTTACACTGTCATGTGTTTCACTCTGGTGTGTGATTATGGTTTATTTCTTACATAGATTATGAGCCACTGTATTTTGAGAGATTTACATAACATATTGTAGCCATGCATTTCAAAGAAGAGCCTGCTTATTTGACATTAAATTAACGTGTATAATAAAGCAGCACTTGCAACATTTGGAGATACAAATATTTTGATTGATCCCTCTACATAGGCAACATTTTAATTTAGCTAAATTTTCAGCAATCTTGCTGCTCATGTCTGCTCTGGGCATCATTTTTCATTTCTGAGGCCACAGTTTAAGTAATTCATTTCCAGAATGATAATGGGAACATTTGAAAAGATGTTGATTGATTTTGCGGAGAAATTGCTTCATCTCTGGTATTGTATTAAGCACAACAAAGCACACATCTTTTACTGTTCTTGAGGAAAACTTTACACTGGGCAAATTAGCTACCCCGTGATAAATAGCTATTAGAAAATCTGTTAAAACATTTAGAAAGAAGCTCTGGAGATTAGGTATGTAGTGCTACTTCCTGTATACAAGCCTTCTCATATTTTCCAGTCCTTAAAGAAAAAGTGAATGGCTTTGAATTCTTTCTTCAATTTGTGCTTTCAGCTAGAGAATTCAAAAGAAGGTAATGCCCTCCAATTTTAAGTTTTTTTTTTTTACAAAAATCTTCCACATTTCATTCAGTGGCTCAATGAAACTTAACAAAATCATCCAACTGCGGACATGGAAAACTGCAGTTTTAAGGGAGTAACAATAAATGAGTAGAAGAATTACAACACACAAGCTCATTAGAAAATTACGACAGTCCAAGCAAATGTAACACTAATTCAGATCTAACTTCATCTGGAGTTACAATACCCATGTTCTGAAACAAGTATTTCTACTAACTTACTTGGACCAAAGGAAATGGTAGTCGTAGAAATCACTGCCCAAAGCATTAAGACAAATAGATCTATTACTGTTTTCCTTTTGCAGAGGGCTATTTGAAGGTACCTCACGTACTTCAACACAAAGTTAACTGGGTAAGCAGCAGCCAACCTCCCTGGCAGTACTGTACTGACTTCAGTTCCCACAGTCACCTGTGCACTTAAATTCTTATCAGAGCCGAAGGCCTAAATTGTTCATGTTACCAAACACAAAGCTGGAGTATGCTGGACAGAGCTGCATGCGTTTGAAGTTGAAAGTTAGAATTTGAATACATACGATTTTTAGTACATCTGTTAGCTACACAGTGTCATTTTAAAACAGGAGTAGGTGCAGTCTTTATGTGAACAGCTTGAAGTTGTACCTGATTGTCAAACCACCTGTCAGTTAACTGAAGCATTCTGAAAAGCTTAATACACAAGCTTTTTGGGTATTTCCCATGTAAATTCTTCTCTCCCAAAGTGCCCATAGCATGCTGTTTTTTGATAGATTGGCCTCTTCAAATCCAGCTCCCTAAATGAAAAGAAAAAAAAAAAAAATCCAACATGTTTTGTGATTTGTATGTATCAGAGGGACAATTAGTATTATCCCTCGAAGAAAAATGAGTTAGGCTTTGTTTCCTTGCACAGCCACACAGATTTATAGCAGCAAAAGTAGTAAGATGAGGGCTTCAATTTAAAGTAATTACAGTCAGCTTTATTCAGATCTATCAAATACGAATTATAAGGCTTTTTAGACTTTGTGATGCAGAAGCACTGCAATTGGAATAAAGCTTAGGTGCAATTGTGCAAGCATTAATGTATTTTGTCTTATTTTAAGTGTACTACAGAATATTTTCTGATGCTACTGTGCTCTAAAGACAATGGTGATCTCAAAAGAAGCAGAGGTGCATGAAATAATTAGAATAGGGCTTAATAGCAATTATGATTAGATAAATAGTAAACATGCAAGGCATGATCATTGTTTTTCAGTCTGTACTATGTACTGGACTGCAGCTATGCTAAATGGTTAGTCACAGGTATCCACACAGAAGTTTCTCTTTATTATAAGGCCTGATACATTTTCTTCTATCTGTGCTTTCTTATATTTATTATTCTATTTAATTGCATTTGAAAGCATGTTTAAAATAGATTGTTCTTACCTTGAAAACTGTCTTGGAAATAGCAGAGTAAGGAAAGAAAAGCAAACACTAGTAGCATAGTTAATCTATTTCAGATGGTAAAGGTATTACATATTCTCACACTTAAGGGATCATTTTGTTGATCTCATGGTATACAGCAGCTAAATCTCAAATATTTTCTGCAATATGATCAAACTCTCCAAGTGCCAGAGCGGTCATTTGTACTTGGCCCTAGTAGAAAAGCCATCAAACTATGAGTTCTGACTAGATGAAAAGTGAAACAGCATGAAGTGTTTTGAGGCTTAGTTGCTCAGAACTGATAATCAGACCATTTAAATAACTTTGAAGGTCATGGGGTAAAGCTTAACAAGGAAATATTCACTATACAATGTTCTTGGTTTTGCTTGCTTGCTTCTCCTTTTCTAATGTTTTTATCATTTCAGGTTTAGGAAAATGTACGATAAAAATGTGGCATTTTTGAACACATTCAATCAAGGAAAGTGTCTGATAGTTACTGATGGTGATTAACTAACATAATTACAAAGGCACAGAGGAGTTTTAAGCTGTTAACACTTAGAAATGTTACCTGGCAACTTGAGTTGCTAAAATGCTTTGCATTATCTCAAAATATTTGCGGGGGGGAAAGGGGGGGGGAAGCTAGCTCTATTGTCAGTATATATGTTCAGGTAAGATCCTAAAAAGAAGTGCAAAAGGTTGGCCCAACCAGAAAAATGTGTTGCTAAGGCTTGATTCTGAGAGCTGGCTCTCATTTCAAGGAACAAAAGAACCCCCTATTCATTCATTCAGATGTTGGCATTTTACCCCTCAGAATAAAAGACAGTAAAGATTCCTACAGAATATAGTCTAGAATAGACTAGATAGATAGACTAGAAAGATATATAAATAGACTAGAAAATAGACTAGAATGATAGGAATAGCTCCAGAGGGAAAAGAGAAGTAAATCATTTAGAGCAGTTCACTCAAATAAATGTGTTAACATTAAGCTAGTGTTAAAACTAGCATTGCTGAAAGTGACAAAGTGATTCTGTGATGCATGAAATCATACTCTTGCTGGTACCTATCTCAGACTTGAGCTCCAATGCCAAATTTTATGAAGCTTAATAAGGGATGAATTCACAGTGTGGTAGCTTCCTTAATAGGAAAAAAAGAGGTGAGAATCAGCCGGGAGATTCAAAAGTTCTTTAGGACTGAGAAATTGAACCTCTACCATTAGGTCTGTGGAACACAGACTGCAAATTCGCAACAACCTCTACCCCCTAAGGGTTCACCTAAAGAATCATGAGTTTATCAGGAAAAACATTAAGATCAAATAACAGCTACACTGTATGGAGGTCAATCACTGCTGATAAGTACAGATGCTAAATCTACTTCCCTCTTCCAGCCCTTCCTCTGAGAGAACAGGATAATTTCCATGCTTTTTTAAGTATAAGGACTAATATCTGTCTAAAACACCTTCTTGCTCAGGCCCAGAAATATTTCAGAAAGATATATGGCGGAGTTGGGTGCAGGGGGTTTCTGTGTCCTCACTGACTATATGGTAGGCTCAATGACTCATGCTTCTGAACACAACTGAATTTTCACTTCAAGACAGTTCATTTCATGGTGGGCTTTTCCTTTTTTCTTTTTACTTTTCCCTTCCTTCCCCCCTTCCCCGCACCCCCCCTCCCCCTCCCTTTTTTTAAACACAAGATACTTCAATCTCTTATCAAGGTTTATGAAAGTGTTGAAGAAATCTGTATTCCTTTTAAATCAAATTCAGTTGACTTCAAACAGGCTACGTAGGGCTGTATGACAACTAGTGACAGGGTCTCATTGCTCAGATTTTCTGATGCAGAATAAAGGCTTGCAGAAGCTAGTAACTTAAAAATGTTATTTTCTCTTCTGGGCTAATGGCCAATATTCCCAGAAATGCAGTGGCAAACACTAAAACATCCCACTCATTTCAAAGGTTCTGCTTGTGAAGTGAGGACACCAGAATCTTGTCATCTTGTGGCAACTGTCTCACAAACTGTTGCTATCTAAAGATTAAGGGTAGGGAGACCCTGTTTAATTTTCTTCAGTAAAGACCAGTCTTTCTGATGCCTTCCAGATAAATCTGGGATTCGGAGGCTTACATACCCCTAAAACAGACTGTTTGAAAAACCTATCTGCATCTGATATTAAATTTTAATTGTACTTTATCAAGTACCAGTATCTGCTACCTGGCTAATAAACTGCAACACAACACACTACCACTGTTACTGAGAGATGAAACATTAAATAATTGACACAAGTCTTCCTTACTCAGTATCTTGTGACCAGATTTGAGAATTGGCCCTTTGTATATCATACTGAGTGTGTGGGAGAGGCAACAGCAGAAATGACAGCAATACTAGACATATGATGAAGGTGACTTTTGGGAGGTAAGGAGCCAGAAACTTGAATATTAAACTGTTAAAAGAATAGTAAGAATATGATTTATTTCGCAAATACTAACAGCACACAAACCTTATGATAGCTCCAAGACGTAGATCAAAGTTTTTCTGTACAATCTCAAGCAGCTCTTCTTCAGATCTGTCTGAGGTTCCATAATGAAACACAGAGATTGCAAGAGGATGACTCAGACCAATAGCGTATGATAGCTGTGGAAGACATGCATGTAACCCAGATGCAGTTAAAACACTCCTTCCTACATTTTGCCTCTGAGAAAGGAAATGGCTATCTCATTTATCAAGGGAAGATCACATGTACTTTCATATATATATATTTCCTATATATATATAGGGAATATGCTTTTGCTATTTGTCCTTTTAGTTAAGCCTAATGTTAGAACTAAAGTTAGGCCTCTTATTAACAAATAAGCTAGTAATTTTATGTCATACTAAATAAAACATATGTAGCATCTGTGATATTGAACAGCTGATCAGTCTGTAGCTCCCACCATTGTTTTAGCTTTTCAGTATTACAGGCTGGCTAGCAAGGAAACAATGTCCATTGCAAAGCCAGCTCAATTATCAGGCTAATTGAAGGCCAGCAAGGTCTTAATCCAGCATACAGCTACAACAGCACTGAAAACATGTTTCTAACTCTGTTTGATACGTTTTTATTTTCATTATCTTTAATCCAGACTCCAATGATTTAACAAAACCTTTGCTTTTCTGCTTTCATTCTCTTCTCTCCTCCTTTCTTAGTTTCACTGTTAATATCTGACATCTCCAAGTTTGCTATTAACAACATTAGTCTTGCCATATCTAAAGCCAGGCTTGGGAATTTAAGGAGGATCTCTCAAAGTTATGAAACAATAACATTCCCACCTGACTGAAGAATTAAGATAATGGTGTATGTGTTCCAAAATGCCACTAAAAATGTGTATCCCAGGAAGCCAGATGTCTTCTGTCACCTCAGAGAAGGGAATTAAAAAAAAAAAAAGAGAGAGAGAGAGATTTGCTAACTATCACTATCTGTGCACTCCCTGTTCTGTCTGCCCTTAACTTGTCTTACTGCACATGTAAAACACATGCACACCTAAAGCAAGAGATCTTGTTCCTAATTGAGATGTCTGGCATTACATCACTGTGTATGTAAATAAAGGGTTCTTAAACTCATTTCTCCAGAAAAATTCCAGCAAGATCACTGCTACATTTTAACATCCTGAGTTAAAGCTACTACGTAGCAGCTACTTGGAATAAATATGTATATGAACAAGTATTGCAAAATGCCTAGACAAATCTCCATGTTTTAGCATTCAGTTTGGGTTCCAACCAATAGCATAACTGTCTAGGTGCCAATAAAACACCTGCTTCCAGCTGAGACTTAGGAGTCCCAAAAATTCATACCCAAGGAAGGAAATGCTTTTCTTCTGACGATGAATGCTCTTCTTGTTTCAAGCTTTTAAAAAACAAATATTCATATGATTGAATTTTATTTTTAGTCACACTTAGCACCATAGTGGAGTCCACTCACAGTAACTTTAGGGTATTTTCAAATATAGTTTAATGTGCTTTAAGATACAAATAATATGGCTATTCAGAAGTGCAGATTGCATAACCAAGACACTGCTAACATAACTGCGATGTGCAGTAAAGCCCAGTTTGAAGTGCTGGGAATGAATGTGTTGCAGAGCATCAGCTGAGTTGCTGCAGTAAAAGCAGTGATAATGCAAAGAGGTGCTGGGAGCAGGGATAGCAACACAACTGGAGAAAGAACATTACTGAGAACACTCCTTGTTCCAGGTGCTTTCTGGCCTTAGACTGGACTGTGACTGAGATTGCAAGCATGTGTTCTGAAGGAATGGCCACACAAGGGATAGATTGTCTGTTATGGTCTATTAATTTCACAGTTGCTCTTACCTGTATTAATACTCTTTTACAGAGACCAGCTTTCACCAGCGATTTTGCAACCCATCGAGCTGCATATGCTGCAGAACGATCAACTTTGGATGGGTCTTTTCCAGAGAAAGCTCCTCCACCATGGGCTCCCCAACCTCCATATGTATCAACAATGATCTTCCTACCAGTCAGACCAGCATCACTCTGCAGAACAAGCAATTGAATACTCATGAAACACAACAGTTTATTCAATTCCATACTAAGTTATTGGGTATCATTTTGTTTTGTTGTATTTTCCACAAAGAAAACTTAATGTTCAGCACATTTGTTTTTGCTTACAACTGTTTAATGAATGAGCTCTACAGGACTGGATTATTTTTCACTAACTGATGGTACCATCACTGCTGGTAACATCAGTGATGCAATAACTTTTGAAGATAAGAATGTGGCATAACAGTAAACATTACAAAAAGACTGCTCCCTGCAAATTCACAGTGTCAAAGTACTGATCTATTACTTCACTACACGTGACAAAGGTGAAGAATTTAGAAAGACAGAAGTCTTGCTGAAGAACAGATCATATGTAGCCTAAGAGGTCAACAAGATCCATTTACATACACATACTACAGAGGAAGAATTAATTTCATGGGGCTATAGTTCAGAATTGTGTAGGACAAGAGCACTGAAATACTGTGAGTTCACCAAACAGTTCCCTGGTGGCACAAGAGCAATTTGGTATTTCTCCTTTCTTCTTCCTGTCTGCCTTTGTCCTTAGCAACACTTTTGCATGCTGTTTGGCCTACTTCCCACAACTTGATGAAATGTTTTAACTTATTCAGCCAGCAGAGAATTACTGCCTTTCTGTGAGATTAATAAAGTTGGTGACTGCAAGCTGATAAATGAACTCAGAATGTCAAGAAATTCCATCTTGAAAGAGCACAAACTGTATTAATCCACTAACTTTAAATATTCAAATAAATGATACCAGAGTAACACTGATATTTATTCTTCAGTGAAAGCAGTTTCTCTACTTCACCACAGTACAAGCACACCTTGTAGTTTTGGTCCTTCCTGAAACACCTTTTACAAAACTGAAAAAAAAGTGCAGCAAAACTTTTTACCTTTTCATAGTAATGACCTGCTTATAACTTCCTAGCTCCTGGAAAGTAGAACACAAGTCAAATTCTGATGAGTGCTGAGGGGCTTGGTGCATTAAGGTCTCCACTGAAATTTGTACAGCTTTTCTGAATAATTCAAATATGGAAATATACACATATATAAAAACCCATTTATAGAAGGTGTTGTTAATTCTGAGTCTTTTTGTTTGTTTCTGTGTGTGCGTGTGTGCGTTTGTTTCTTTGTTTTACTGTGAAAGCACAGACAAACCACTTGTCAGATATTTTAACATGTAACTTAAAGGCTGACTCATTTAAAAACACCTTCTGGGACCAATACAGAGATTTTGACATTTGGCTATCCAAGCATGTAAAGCTCAGTTTCAATGCAAGCTGTCCAGCACAAAAAGTTCAGTAGCAGTGACTGAAGATTCCTGAAAAATATTTACGCTTTATTCACTGAAGGTATACCAGTGCAAGAGAACGTTTAGAAACATGTGGCAAAGTTTGTTCAGGCTCTCTGAATCCAAGTCTCTTTATCCTTTCTACTTTCAAAGTACCATACCTTAGGACCACCTTCTACAAATTTCTCACTTGGAAGGAGATGATAAATTGTGTCTTCATCGAGATACTTCTCTGGAATGACTTCCTTAATAACTTTCTCCATTAGCTCCTTTTGTATGTGTTGTAGAGGTACATCTGGGGCATGATGTACTGAGATCACAACTGTATGCACTCGGATGGGTTCCACTGCTCCATCACTCTCCTTGTATTCCATAGTGACCTGGAAAGAAAAAAAGGTACCGAATCAAGGCCAGGAATACCCTTAGAGCACACTTCTTCATGTAGAACACTAGTCTGAAAATTTAGAAAGAACTTCATAGTTCTTTTCTACAGCAAATAATTAATAACAATAACAATAATAATAATAAGTGCAGGGAAAGGGGGAGAAAAATAACATATTATTGCTGACATTTAGTATCACTGTAGGAAAAGTGCTAAAGCATCATTACCGAAAGTAAAGGATATTGCCTGTATTTACACATACAGTAAAAAAAAAAAAAAGACAAATCACTTCCATACAGAAGGATTCTGCCTAGGATTGTTCCTGGCATAAGCTAAACTCTTTTAGTTTTGCATGGTAAGATAACTTCAAATAGTAAGCCTCCAAAGTAAAATCAAAATAACATTTGGAGATCTCTGCTGAAATGAGTAAATGTGGTTGATGATATGGTGATCTGTATTCTTCGCTACCCTTTGAACAGCTTTTATATACGTACAAATACATGACACTGCTCCACCTTTAGCGTTCTTGTAGACTAAGATTTCTCTAGTTTTCTACCCTCCAAGCAAGTTTGGATACATACAGTGAGAAGAAACCAGTCTATTCACACTGCCAACAAAAGGTACAGGTTATCCATGTTGCTGTACTGCTGCTGTAACAGCTGTAGCAGTATAATTCAGTACAGTTCATTTGCATCAAAGCAATAGAATATAAGAATAGGACAATATGCTGCCTTGGAAGTGTAATATTTGTGGATTTCCACTCCTCTTCTGCAGATTTGAAAGCCTGGAAGGACAGCCTTTGAGACTGACCAAGTGCACTGTTGTTACAGTGTGCCTCAGTGACTCATCTACTCTGTAACACAGCCATCAGTGGCTCTGATCATCAGTCCATGTGTCCAGATCTGGAGCCCCCAGTACAAGAAAGACAGGGAGCTGTTGGAGAGGGTCCAGAGGAGAGCCATGAAGATGATCAGGGGGCTGGAGCACCTCCCTATGAAGACAGGCTGAGGGAGCTGGGCTTGTTCAGCATGAAGAAAAGAAGGCTGCGGGGTGACCTCACTGCAGCCTTTCAATCTAAAGGGAGCCTACAGACAGGAAGGGAATGAACTCTTTGAAAGGGTAGATAACTACAGAAAGGGGAAATGGTTTTAAGTTGAGGGAGGGAAGATTGAGGTTGGATGTCAGGGGGAAGTTCTTTACAGAGAGAGTGGTGAGGTGCTGGAACAGGCTGCCCAGAGAGGCTGTGGATGCCCCATCCCTAGAGGTGTTCAAGGCCAGGTTGGATGGGGCCCTGGGCAGCCTGGTCTGGTGTTAAACGTGGAGGTTGGTGGCCCTGCATGTGGCAGGGGAGTTGGAGATTCATGATCCTTGAGGTCCCTTCCAACCCTGGCCATTCTGTGATTCTATGATTCTGTGATTAGTCAAATAAGCATGTATGGAGTTTCACACAGGAACAGACCTGTTTTGTCTGACTGAGAAACTGCTTTTTATCAATCCAGAATTCTGGAATATAGATGTTTATGCAGAAAATAAAAACAAAAACAAACAAATAACACTTGTTAGTAATGTGTTAATCTTCCTAATCACCAGAGGAAAAGAAGCAAAATACCAGAGTTAATTTGAAGAAAATTGTAAAGACAATGCAGAACAGATTAAACCTCCCATATGTGTTACACACAAATGCACCTTGTGAAATCCAGCTCACCTTGGAATATGAAAATATGTATATACATGTATTAAATATTACATATAAATATTCCAGTTTAGTAACAGACAGGGTAAGTGACTTCTGTACTTACTTACCATGAAAGTTTGTAAACTAATATCTATGCATTTACTTTACAAACCTGTGTTTTTCCATCTGGTCTAACCCAGGGCCATGTTCCATTTCGTTCCAGATCCTTTATCCTTGAAGTAAGCTTATGTGCCAGGAGGACTGTTAAGGGCATACATTCCTCAGTTTCATCAGTGGCATAGCCAAACATCAAACCCTGCATTGAAATACAGGGAATTAAGCCACCCATTTCCATGTTCTCTTTTAGTTTCTGCACGTCTTTGCCACAAAATACTTAAAAATCAGCCAAATCTAGAAACAGACAGCAGTAACTGGCAGAATGACTACACTTGGAGGCATAACCAGCCTGAAATTACACCTATGTGTCTGCATTGCACGAGAATGAGAGTTACAGAAAGGCCTGCTTCCCAAGCGTGATGTAATCATCCGCAAGAATTCACTGCAGAGGCCTAACAGACATAAAGCTCATGGAGTCTGGTCTGCATTTTCCCCATTCGCGACAACTGAAATAATGCAGCCTGAGAAGCAGAACCAGGCTACCACAGGACGTGAAAGACCAGCACTGCCATCTAATGATCAAAAGCTTAATTGTAGCTCTAACCAGTAGCGCCACTGGAAAAGACGTTCTCAGAGAAGTTAGTGATGACTATGTCATTTCTTGTACTTGTTTGATTGGTTGGTTTGCTTTGTTTTTGGCAGATTATGGTTTTGGTTGGTTTAATGGCTTGAGTTTTTTTGTTTGTTTGTTTGGTCTGTTTGTTTGTTTTTGCACTTCTGATGGTTAAGAGAATACAAAGTATTTGGCTTTAATTCTTACGCTTAAATTTCTGCAGTGCCCATAAAGGAAAGTGTCTGGTCTAGCTCAAATCTAACTGCTTGTGCACACGCTCCATTTCAGTGTCTAGAATAAAATCCCATTACCTGATCCCCTGCTCCAATGTCATCGTCACTCTTGCCATGGGAAACAGCGTGCTTGATCTCTTGACACTGTTGCTCTAAGGCCACTAGAACTGTGCAAGTCTTATGGTCCAATCCTAGTGAAGGAAATTTTGGGAAGTGAGGTCATATAATTTTGAGAGTTTACCATCCACTAAAAAAGCTTTTGGGGATTATCTACTTACCTTGGCTAAAACTTCAATAAACCTAAATATACAACTTTCCTATACCATCATGGTTTTGTACTGCTAACAAAAGCAGACAATATGAGCATATTGGTTTTACAGTATTAGGATCTGGGCAAGTTGCAGTTGAAATGAGCTTTTTAAATTGACAGGTCAAGTGTAACCCTAGCTGCCCCACAAAAGCTTGTGACAGTGCTTATATACAGATGCCTAGGGTTCAAACCACATGTGGAAAATGTTACCAGAAATTGTTACTCTTTTGTTGTTGCTATTGCTTCAAGTTCTAGAATTGGAGAAAAACTATGCAAGTAATATATGAAAAGGGAAAAATGAAAGAAAATAGTTGTGTTGGGGATTAAATTGCTGAAATGAAGCTACCATGGGAAAATGTATACATAAAGTACATAAAGAATTCCCTTGGGAATTAAACTTAAGTTTTGTAGGCTTATTCGTCCCAAGGGCAGGGATCATCAAGGCTTAAGCTTTCACTGTATAGACCTGTGATGTAACTACTTTTAGATAACTGAGTAAACACTAGTTTTTCTTTAACAGAGGAGAAAGGAGTAGATAGTCTTTTGAAGAATAAGTGTTTTGTGAATATTCTACCTCCAAGTAGCTTCTTCAGCATCTGCACAAAAATATGTATCAACATCTGTGCATTTTTCTTGCAGGTTAGACGTACATTTTGTTTCATTTTTAAGCAGATTACAGAAACAAGATTTTGGCCACATGCAGAGCAGGTCCAGCAATGAATGAAAGAAGAATCTCACCTTTAGAAGAGTCATCATACCCTATCCTCTTAAGGGTCTCTCTTACTATTTGTTGGTAATCTACTATAGCCCGGGATGTGATCTCTCCACAAAGCAAAATCATTCCAGTTTTTGCCACACATTCTGCAGGAAAAAAACAAGAAAGAAAGACAGAAAGAAAAAAGTAAGAATTCTACTGCTGCTATTTTTACAATTGCACAAGATGATGCTGAATAAGGTTTCCTATAAAAATGATTGCTTATTGGGGAAACTCAGAGAAATACCTTAGCTTAAGTATATGTCTGTGTGCCATTACTCTTCTCTTAAACTGATACTAACATAAAAATCATTTCAAGGTGGGTTCATTCAGTGCAATTATCCTATCTCCACAGTAGCAGCAGCAAATATCTGTAAGAACAGGTCCATTATATAGACTTATTATATATTATATATTATATATAGACTTATTATATTATTATATAGACTCCAAATGCTTTCCTGGTCCATTTTCAGCTCAGGGACCTTCTGAAGATAGAGGGACATAACTTATTAACAGACAGCTTTACTAATCTGTGACGGATTTTTGCTACGCTGATTCACCCAGTTGCCTCTGGCAACCATGAAAACTTCTAGCATCTACAGCAGCCTGACATGGGAAGCTCCACAACTACATTACAATTCTGTGCAGAATCATTTCATATTCCAAGCATCATTGCAGCCCTCAAATTTCATAGAATCACAGAATCGGTTGAGCTGTAAGGGACCCTTAAAGGTCATCTAGTCCAGCACCCTGCAATGAACAGGGATATACTCTCCATTTGGTGTTAAACATATAGCAATCAATCACAAAATCTTCACCACAGCAATACAATCTACAATTACATGGCTTTATTTCATATTCCATTCAATCATCCCTTTAGGAAAGTAGAAAAGTAGTCTAAACTATTCACTGACAAACATTGTATGGCAGTGTTGTTAGTCTTCCCAGTAATTTTTTCTTCCTATAGGGATAGAGAAATAAACAAACTACACACATTTTCAGGAGAGGTATCCATGCATTTACTTACTAGCTTAATTAAATTCTCAGTTCCACTATCCCTTAACTTAATAGAAATCTCAAACACTGAGTATTACAACTGAAGACTGACTCTGTTAACAAGACCACACCTCCAAGAGCTTGCAATGAACTCCAAACCTAACTTAACTACACTTGTGATTAAGTGTGCTTTTTTTCCCTACCTAAAGGGAAAGCCTTACTGGAAGAACACAGAGTTGTGGATCTTGGGGCTGAGAAATGGCAAAATAAGGCTCCGCTTATCACCAACAGTCCCTACAAACTCTCTTAGGCCCATTGCAGCCCAGCAAATCTTGGTAATTATGAAAAACTTCACAGCATGAAGATGTTATTTTAGAATCATAATAGGAATGGTTCATCTTGCTACATTTGCTTTTCATTTTGACCAAAATTAATGTAAACAAAAGAAAATGTGGCTCAGGAACTGCACTCTACCAGCCACAAATACCTCAGCCCCAGCAACACTCCTATCTACTCTATCCAAGAGAAATTTACCATATAAAGTTTAGAGCTCCTCACTAGGGGATTGATTTCTTAAATGTTTAGGCCTCCCCAAAACAACATTTTGAACTTAACTACTGGGCAGAAATTTCCATTTTCTCTTTTGTACTGTCATGGTTTATAATTAGTAAAGTTTCTCTCTTGACTCTGATTTATTGGACACATCGGGAATGAACTTTTACTCTCAAGAAACCATTTGGCTTCATTTAATCAGAGAGGAAACAGAATACCTATTTTGCTTTAGCTGCATGCTACTGGCACTCCTTATTGCCTTGACTTTATGTTGAGCACACCAAACAGGCCAGCTCCCTCCTGCCACAATGAGGCATTGCCAGATTAACAATTCAGAAATTCATGTGCAGTCAGCTAATCATACAAGTCCAAGCAGCAAATAAAATTCAGAGAACTACAGGCAATCTTTTTCTACGGGTGGGTTGAATTTAGTTTCAACATCTCCGTAAATCTACATTTCATACTTATGTAAATTGCAGTGTTACACGGACCTAGCACTTACAAAATGCTTTGAGATTTTGGGTGGATTTTTTTGCTGCTGTTGTTGGCTGGTTGGTTTTTGGTTGGTTTTTTGTTTTGTTTTGTTTTGTTTTTCCCAAGAAGCTTTGAGGTTAATTTTGATCAACTGAACAGAAACACTGGATTTCACTCAGAAACTGCTTTCTCCCGTACCAGCCACTACCTTTTTCTATGATTTAATCAAATGCTGTATATGGCGAGATTTAATACTGTAATACCATATAAAAGTATTCTGATTCCACTTAGAAGTTTTAATATGTTTGTTTGGTTGGGGTTTTTTTCAGTTATTTTCATTTTTGTGAGGTTTTTGTCGCTGATGGCTGTTTGTTTGATTGCTTTTCCCAGCTGATTACAGAAATCAGGCATTTACCTATGTAACCATATCACACTTTAGCTTTTGCTTTGGTAAGACAAACTGATCATGCTTCTCACGTTGCTTACAACATGCTTTCAGTCCTTGTCATTATCATAGCATTTGTCTTACCATCTTCCAGCTTTCCAGCATATTTAGAAGCACAACTTCTGCAGCACTGAAATATGTTCTTCATCAAGTCTAATATGTATGCTAAACTCTTCCTCTACATCTCCTCCCTGTTCACATCTATGCAACAAGACACAGGAGCTGTTTTAGACCATAGCGTCATATTAGACCAGTGTCTTACTGCTCCAGCTATGGCCTCTATGACTTTACACTCAGAGCTCTTTAGAGACATTCCCATTCTGTATTCATTCCAATCCTATAGTAAGTCCTTAATCTCTAGAAACAGAGATGTTGCTAGTGACAATATCTAGTGTAGAATACAGGTAGACTTAACAGAAAGTCACCCCAAAAATACGAGCTCGTTTGATCAGAATCACACCAAAACAAACTGTGCATTTACCTTCCTGTGGGCCAAGGGCATCACCCTGGTTCTGTAAAAGCACAGTATGCATCTATTTAGCACTTCTGGATTTTATTAATACATTTTACTCAGTAACCCAGGAAATACATTCTCAGATACACTGTTTCTCAATTCTTTTTTTCCCTAGTTTTCTTAAACTCCTCATAATCATTAGCTCTGTTATCCCCAGTTTTCCCTGACACCAGGGACTTCTCCTGAGAAGTTTTCTACATTTTATCATTTTTAATTTGTAGTGAAATACTCTATATTCTTTTTCCTGTTTATGCCTTCCAGTCTTTTGCTCTCCCTTCTCCTTATAGTTACTATGTCAGTGCTGGCTTTTGGCTAACTGAGGAAGAACTGACTGCCAGCCAATCACTGTAAGAATTTTGGATGACAGGACATTTTTGGCAACATGGATTCCTTGTTGTACTTCATTAATCTGTTTTTATGTCTGCATTGTACTTACCACAGGCAACCTTGGCATCTGGATCAATACTGAGATGAGCATCTAAAACAGCATCACTTATCTGATCACACATTTTGTCTAGAAGACAAAAAAAAAAAAAGATGCAACTTTTCTATTTCCTGATAAAAACTGAAGTGATTTCTTAACATTTCATGTCCAGCAGCCAATACGTCACTGTTTATGGAGCCAAGAGCCAATTTGAGCAACTTAGAAGTCTGAGTCTCTCCTATCCTGTTTCCACACTTCTGCTCAAGTTAATCCAAACAAACATATCACTATCATATGCAAGCACAAGCAGCATGCCAGGTGTGGGCACAAAGACAAAGTCTGTGAAGGCATTCTGGAATATTAGTTTTAGAAGGTGTAGTAGGTATCTCCTGAACACATATTTAACATATGCTCTTTCAATAGTTCTTACCCCCCATATATCATGCTAGTAACAGTCAGAGATTTGCACTTAAGATATCATTTATCCCTTTGCTACCTCCAGTTAGGGTCTCTGAGATCTCATGTGTCTACATTTTTTAAGGGAAGGGGTGTTGTTCTTCCTACAAACAAGTGTGTTAGTTTGAATCCCACTCCTGCAATTATGCACAACTCATTTGAGTTTAGAAAGCGTTGGTGAAAAATGTTTTTTACCTATTCTTCCTATAGTACCTACTACTTAATGAAGAAGTAAGACCTGAATGTGCCACAATTTTCTTTTCACTAGGACAACTGTGTTGTTTAAATTAAGTGAACAGATTAAGGGACAAATTGAGATTCTTGTCTCCTCAGGGTAACTGAGCCAGATAAAAGCAAATTATGTTGCTTCTGAAGAAGTACATATTTAAAATATTACATATCTGCAGAATCAGTGTGAGAAATATGCATTAATCTTGACCCACTATCATTAAAAAATACCATCAGAGTGCAGCTACACAGCTGGATCTACAGAGTTATATCAGTGAGCCAGTTACCCTTATTGTCTGCAAGAACCTATATAATTATCTATGCAATTATTAGACTAAAATAACTTTTCAAGTGAGAATACCATTACATGTTCTGGTAAACTAGAGGACCCAAAGAGAAAGTAATGAAGGAGCATAACTGAATGTACTCCTTACATTACTTTTTGTTTTTAATCTACTTTGGAAAAAAGCAAGCATCAGAATGAAATTATAAAATAAGAGGAGAGTTATTCTATACCCCAAAACATCACAGAATCATGGAATCACAGGAGTTGGAAGGGATCTCTGGAGATCACCAAGTCCAACTCTCTGCCGAAGTAAATTCCATAGAGTAGTTACACAGGAAAGTATGAGCAAAAAGCCTGCTGTGATATATTGCTATACTTGGTATAGAAAGCAAGCCAGACATAGAGACCGCCACCAATTGATTTTTCATCCAGAACAAGCAAAAGAAGTGCCTCTTAAGTTTCAGGAAGTACAAACAGTTTGTGGAAGATGGTTATTGTGGATAATGTGCAATTTTTATTTTCCCATATATGTCACCATTACAAAGAAAAATCACTGAGTGATGGAAGATGATGAAGAGCCGCGATGGGGTCTAAATACATGCAGCAATGGGCAGTGTGGTCATTGACCAAAGGGTTGTGGTATCAGCCAGAGATGACTGTGACCTCACTGTGTATAAATTTTGTCGCCAGTAGAGACCAGCATGAATTTATGCCTGGATCGTAGTTGAGCACAGCTGTGAGTCTTGGAGCAATGGGTTGGGTTGTGCTGTAGGGCTGTCAGCAGCAGAGCAGCAGTTCTTGGTGCTCACCCCACAGCATCTCAAGTTTTTCCCTGGCCCCATCTGACTCCGGGAGCTAGGATGCACCTACAGTAGCAGAGGTGAGCAGTGTGGGGAACACAACCCTCAAGTTGGTCACAGGGAGCTAGGGCTGGGGGGTCACTGCTGCCTGCCCTGGGAACACAGAATCACAGAATCACCCGGGTTGGAAGGGACCTCAAGGATCATGTAGTTCCAACCCCCCTGCCTAGCAGGGCCACCAAATGTACACATTCAGATCAGGTTGCCCAGGACCCCGTCCAACCTGGCCTTGAACACGTCCAAGGACGGGGCATCCACAACCTCCCTGGGCAGCCCGTTCCAGGGCCTAACAACTCTCCTTGTGAAGAACTTCCCCCTAACATCCAACCTCAATCTTCCCTCCTTCAACTTGGATCCATTTCCCCTAGTCCTGCTACTGTCAGCCCTTTTGAAGAGTTTACTCCCCTCCTGGGTGTAGGTTCCCTTCAGGTATTGATAGGCTGCAATGAGGTCACCCCTCAGCCTTAGGTAAAAGGTAAAATAGGTAAAATAGATAAAATAGGTAAAAACAGCAAGTGACAATGGCCTCCCTCTTTTTCTTTTGCAGTTTGTGACACTTCCTGCAGCTGCAGTGCCAGACAGACAAGGAGCTTCCTAACCTCAGCTCTCCCCAGCTCACTGCACAGCCTGGGGACATGGTGGTGCCTATGGGCACAGTTGGGATGATGTGACCCACATGACCCCTGTCTCCAATAGCTTTGCTATGACGGTCTGCTCTGCTGAGTAAAGAAGCAGATCAGATGTGCCATATGCGGGTACAATATAAAGACCACCCAATACTCAGTGAGGCTGGACAACAATTCACAGAATCATAGAATCTACAAGGTTAGAAAAGGCCTCCAAGATCATCCTGTCCATCTGTTCACTTATCACCAGTATTTCCTACTTTCCTCAGTACAAAATCTAAATGTTTCTTGAACACCTCCAGGGATAGTGATTCTACCTGGCCTGGGCAGGCCATTCATGTGCCTGACCACTCACTCGGAGAAGAAGTATTTCCTAATGTCCAACCTGAATCACACCTGGTGCAACTTAAGCTTATTCCCTCTAGTTATTTATTGTTATTTACATGGGAGAAGAGGCCAACACTTATCTCACTACAACCTCCCTTCAGGTAGTTGTAAGAGCAACAGGCTCTGAGCCTCCTCTTGTCCAGGCTGAACAATTCCAGCTCTCTGAGTTGCTTTCCATAAGGCCTGTGCTCCAGATCCTTCACAGCTTTGTTGCCCTTCTCTGAACCCGTTCCAGGGTCTCAATGCCTTTCTTATAGTGAGGAGTCCAAAACAATATGGACACAGTACTCAAGGTGTCCTTCCTGGCCACCTGGGCACACTGCTGGCTCATGTTCAGCAGAGCATCCACCAATCACCCTCAGGTCTGTTTTTCACATACAATCTTCCAGCCAATCTGCCCCAAGCCTCTAGCTCTCCCTGGAGTTGTTGTGGTCAAAGTGCAGGACCTGACACTCAGCTTCGTTGAATTTCATCCCACTGGCCTCAGCCCAGCCATTCAGCCTGTCCATATCGCTTTCCTTCCTCCAGGCAGATCCACACTTCCAGCCGACTTAGTGTCATCTGCAAATTTACCGAGGGTGCAGTGAACACCCTCATCCAGGTCATCAATAAAGATATTGAATGGGACTTGCCCAGCACCGACCCCTGGGGAACACCACTTGTGACTGGTACCAGCTAGATGCAATTGCATTTACCACCATTCTCTGGCCTGGCCATCCAGCCAATTCTTTACCCAGCAGAGAGTGTATCTCTCCAAGCCAATGGCTGCCAGCTTCTCCAGGAAAATACTGTGGAGACAGTGTCAAAGGCTTTGCTGAAGTCTAGGTAGACTACATTAACAGCCTTTCCTTTGTCTACCAGGTGGGTCACTTGATCATAGAAAGAGATAGGGTTGGTCAAGCAGGACCTGCCTCTCATGATCCCATGCTGGCTAAGCCTGATCCCTTTGTTGTCCCACATATGTTGTGTGATCACACTCAAGATGATCTGCTCCATAACGTTACCTGACACTGAGGTCAGGCTGACAGGTCTGTAGCTCCCCAGATCCTTCTTACAACCCTTCTTGTAGATGGGAGTCACAGTGGCAAGCCTCCAATCCTCTAGGATCTCACCGGTTGACTACGCACACTGGTAGGTGATAGAAAGCAGCCAGGCTCTTGCTTCCACCCTTGGGTGGATCCCATCCAGCTCCATGGACTTGTGGCAGTCCAGCAGGAGTAGTAGGTCTCTGTTTCCACCTGAATCATGAGGGATTTATTCTTCTCCCCATCTGAGATTTCCAGAGTACCCCAAGGATAAATGGTCTGACTTTTAAAGGCAGTTGTAAAAAAGGCATTGAGAACTTCAGCCTTTTTCTTATCCTCAGTGGTCATTTTCCCGCCACATCCAGTAAAGGACGAAGGTTCTCCTTAGCCCTCCTTTTATTGTTAATATATTTGTAAGAAAATTTTTCGTTATCTTTTAGCTCAACATTCAAGTTGAATTAAAGCTGGGCTTTTGCCTTTCTAATTTTCTCCCTGCATATCTTAATAACTTCTCTATACTCTCCTTGAGTTGCCCTTCCCCTCTTCCACAGGAGGTAGGTTCTTTTCTCCTCTTGGAGACTCAAAAATCTTTTTCATCTATGCAGGTCTTCTTCCCCACCAGCTCATCTTGATGTTCCTGCAATTTTAAGACTTTCTTCTTGAGGAGCAACTAGTCTTCCTGGAACCCTCTATCCTTCAGGACTGAATCCCAAGGTACTCTCCCTACCAGTGTCCTAAAGAGTTCTTAGTCCACCCTCCAGAAGTGCAAGGTAGAAGTTCTGTTGCCCATCCTCCTGACTTTATCAAGAACCGAGAACTCTTCCATTTTACTGTCAGCCTGCCCAAGACAGCTCCCAACCTCCACATCTCTGTCTGTGAACAGCAGACCTAGTGTGGCACCTCACCTGGTAGGTTCTCTTACCAGCTGCATCAGGAAGCTATCTTCCATACACTCTAAAAACCCCCTAGACTGCTTTTTCTGCACTGTATTTCCAACATGTATCAGGGAAGCTGAAGTCTTCCATGAGACTTGAGGGCTGGCAATCATGCAACTTCCACCAGCTGCTCATAGAACACCTCATCTGTTTCTTCATCCTGGTTAGGCAGTCTATAACAGACCCCCACCAGGATGTCTGCCTTGTTGGTCTTTCTCCTGATCCTTACCCATATCAACCTTAGCATTCCCCGCCTGAAGTTCACCAACATCAAAGCACTCTAACACAGAGAGGTACATCATCACCTCTCCTTCCTTGCCTATCCCTTCTGAAGAGCTTATAGCCATTTATTGCAGCACTCCAGTCATAGAATTGATCCCATCATTTTCCATTATGGCAACTAAGTCATAGTTTGCCTGAACCACAGCCTCCAGGCTCAGGAGTTTGGAAGGCTAACCTCAACATCTTGGTCTGCCTCTGGGAAAAAAAACAAATAAACAGAAAGAAAAAGTCTGTAATTCAATGCAAAGTTCAAGGCTCACAATGAAATTAACACAGGATCCATAGAGTAGTACCTTCCGACACACTCTAAAAGCAAATAAATATGAAAAATGCCTACCTGTTACTTAGAACATACGAACCTGTGTGCCATCAATACTATTTCACTGAGGTATAAACTAAAAATTGGCTTAGAGTAGACCACAGAGAGAGTTCATGCCTATACTGGGTTCCTTGATGATGTCATCCCAGATGCAGAACCTTGAACTTCTCTTTGTAAAATTTCATGCAGCTCTTGTTTGACCACACTTCCAGCCTGTCCCAGTCTCTCCCTTCTGGCATGGTCACTTTATCATCATTATTAATTTAATTGTCCAGATCTTTTTTGCAGATATTCTACAGCATAGGGCCAAGTATTGATCCCTGGCAGATTCCACTTTTGCCAGCCTGCATGAAAACAACTGACCACTCCCCTTTGAGTAATGCCTGTTGGCCCATTTCCATCTCCCAGACCGTATATTCCCTCTACATCTAGCCAGTTTGCCTAGGATGAGACAGTGGGAAATAGTGTTGTGCTGGATCTTCCCAGGTGCCCGCTTCATTTGTTTGTAACATTCTCTAAGTGGATTCATTCCATTACTTTCACACAGTTTGAAGTGAGAATAATGGCCTCATAGTTTCTTGTATCCTCTTTTGGACCCCATATGTAGATGGGTGTGACACATGCCCTCTAGACTTACTGAAATTGCTTGCCAGTATGTTTACTTACAGGATCAGAAATACGGCCAGTTACGTAAGTATATTGTACCATACTGATAAAACTGACCACAGTTTGAAGACCCAAGGGCATGAGATGAAAGACAGAAACATAATGTAGCTATAACTTCAGACCCAGAAATTATTTTTACAATCTAGCGTAGAATCAGTAACGTCAAATTCCAAAGTTTATTAATCAATAGCCCTGTAAGCGTGAAAGGGATTCAAAACACGCGGTCTGATACTCAAGCAAGGAATGCCATATCCTGGAAGAACTGATAAGTTTTATTGCCATCAGTTACTTGCCCTATTACAACATACAGCATAATGTTCAAAAGCAAGCAAGTGGTTGCAGTCATTCTAGATATGATGCTACATGCTGCAGTGGTCTTGCAGTTCTTGGGCTGTTCAGACAGGGCTGAGCAGACATGGGATACTATAATAACTGGTCTCACACCATGCAGTTCCCACATAAGGAATAGGATTCATAAGAACAAACATACACAAGAAAAATCATCTGCAACTATTCAGTGTTTGACATCACCCTTATGAACTCTCTCTTAGGCTTTTTATCATTTATTTTATTATGGCAAAATAAAAAAGTAGTGTTACTTTTAGTCTTAACATTAAAATCTTCCATTTTAAGGTTAAAATAAAAATGTATAGATGTTGCAGCCTTTACTATAAATTTAAATTACTAGTATATCTGATGGAAGCCTGAACTTTCTCTGCTCCATTAGTTAACAGAGCTTCTAGATGCACATTTGTCTAAATAAAACTGTGCGAAAAACACACCTGAATTTAAAGAACAGACATTAGAGATCTGGTATTATCTTTCAGCCCAGAAAAAAAAACAGAGTGGTTTTTGAACTCCCTACAACATATTTAAACTTGCACTGAACAGAGCAATTTGGCCAAACAGCCATGTTTAGTATTTACAGAAGTATCTGGTAGGCAGCTCTAATGAAAACCAATGCTTAGTACTTCAAACATCTCAGAAGTTCAGAGTTAAAGATGTGGAAGACACAATTTTTTTTCAAAATGCAATTAAAATCAACGTCCACTATATGTAGTAGCTCTAAGTCTACTGTAGAAGACACCTCCTTCTTCCTCTCAAGTAGAAGTTCTAAGTTATCTATACACCAGACTATACTGCATATTAAACAAATAAAACAAATTATTGTCAAGGAAATAAAAACACTAATCAAAACGATTGTTCTTTCTTTTCTTCACTATAGGAGATAGGACTCAACTTTCATAATAAAAGCAAAAATTTGGTCAGTATTTTGACTTACCAGAATGTCCTTCTGCAACAGATTCTGAGGTAAAAAGAAACCGTTTTTCTTTTTTTGAGGCATGGCTTGACATGACTTTATATTTTCAGTGAGCCTGCAAATGAGAAAGACCAAAAGCAACTACAGAACAAGCCCAGACAGAAAACAAGGTGGAAAGGTTAATGCATATATGAAAGCAGCTGATGCAATAGCTTCCACCTTTGTTGCTCAGAAGATTAAGACTGATCTTTGAGAATTTTAAAGCACACCACTACATAAACTCCTAAGACTTTAATGTTTGGATAACCTTTGTCCTGTTAAACTCTGCAGAAGTGTTAAATGCAGAGATAGCTAAGCCAGAGTTGAACACCTTTGTTCATGTCCCAAATCCTTCATTCTTTCCTTCTTCTAAATGCTAAGTAAAAAGCACTTCAAGATGGCAAAAAAGCAATGAGATTTATTTGTAAGGGTAAATAAAGTTTTCCCTTAAACATAGTATCTACACTTAGCTTTTGCAATGAACTGTGCAGTAACATCTCCCTTTTATGTGAGAAGTTTATAACACCTCGGGGTGGTGAGCTGTCCTTCCCTAATAGTATTTTTGACAGTAGTTAAGTGAAGAGCTGTACAGTAATCACTGGAGATTCTTAGAGCCATCAGAAAAGGCAGTGTTCATTATAAACTACCTTAAATTCTGAGACTAAAATCTATACTCCTGCCCCAAACATAGTAAATTTGTCAACAGTCAGGCTTTCTCACCTCCTTTTACAGAACTCTTTTCTCCTACTGTTTTCCTTAGAGAGATGCACTGCAAACCAGAAGGATTCAAAGTATCTAAACAAAGTGAAGAGCTTTGCTCCCCCGAAAGCTCTGTGTTACATTAGCATACTTTAGGATGCATTGCAGTAGCATAACGGAGCACCCAAGTAAAACGCAGCATCAGAAATTATTTAGGAAACAGCAGGTGCATCTGGCCATGAAAATCCCCTTACCACTGAGCAGTTTTATGCTACTGCAATTCATTATGTTGATCTCCGGTCACCAAACCAATTGCCACTTACAAAAATGGCGTTCCATGATGTAGGCATAATATACAGCAAAGAAAGAAGGCACTGAGATACAGGTGGAGCAATACAACTGCAAGCCATACTGGCTGTCGTGAACAAAAAATATTACTCACCAGACCACTAGCAAATGTCTCACAAGTGGAAGGCAGGTATGGTAGCAAAAGCAGTAATAAATGCAAACCACTTAGACAAATGAGCCAAAACCAATCTTCTTACACAGCATGGGGTTTCTTTTGCAACTGTATATTTTGTGTGGTAATATACCTATCTTCCAAAATCTGCGTATCAAATTTCCAGAAACAGTAACTGTAGAGTATTTTTAGCATGAGGCCTAAGAGAAGCTTTCACTTTGGAGATAATAAAATAGTTAATCTTGAGTTAAGCTCACTCAGATAAAAGTAGGATCAAGCAAAATTGTCTCTCAGTTGCAAGGATGGAAAAAGTGCTGCCTAACTGTGATAACTCAGGTGGTAGCTAGTATGTTACAATGAGCCAGCCCCCAGCAAAAAAAATCACCATTCTGCTGAAGGCAGAGTGATAACAAAAGAGGTAATGGCAAGAGACTCATTTTGGCTTTTTTTTTGTTTTGTTTTGTTTTTAAAGTTCTGTTCTCATTTTAATAGATCTTATGGGGCAAAGTTTTCAGAACTTAACACTATGTAGCACCTATTCTCAGGACAATTGCTCATGTGTATGTGGAGAGCAATAAAAAGAAATATTTTAAACCACAGTTAATTATTGTCAGAAACACCATATGAAGACCATTAACTCTTACTATTTAATCTTACTTATTTAATTGTTTCTCTTTAGCTTCAAAGAGTACATTATAATACTATATGAAAATGAACTGATCATACAGAGATTTATGTCCTTGGAAGGATATCACTTCTGTGCCATACTCTTTGAGCTCAATTTGCATGTTATACAAAGCACTTCATGCAAACCAAATAGAAATATTCACATGAACTCTTCTATAATTAATTGATATTATTCTGCATTCTAAAATTCTTATGCATTACTTTGCGGTTTATACAGTTTCCATTCAACATATGCTTCTTGGCATGCTTTACAATGCACAACATTGCATATACTCCAACTTCATCTATGAATACTTACGGTGGGAAAAAAGAAAATATGTACAGAGCATAGTTAATCTTTATTAACCTTTTTAAGGAAAAATCTAAAAGACCACAGGTAAAAAGGAAACAGGGCAAAGGGAGGAGGTGCCAGGACAGGAGATATGCAGGGGCAGGAAGATGCTGGAGAAAAAAAAGGAGGCACAAGAAAAATTGCCTGAATGAGACTAGAGCAAAGAGACACCCATGCAGCAAGAAGCATAGATGACAGTAGAGGAGAAAGTATACCTTCAGAGGGATCACAGACAACGAATGGACCCCATTTCAGAGCGATGGAGTACGAAACACTCAACGGGCTGATGTCAGGAAGCAGTGAGAAGCATCCACTGTGAATAAAGCATCTTTTCTACGTGTTCTTTTGTCTTCATTATTTTTTCAATACCATAATCTTTTAAAAATTAAAAACTTGAAAATTAAAAACTAAAAACTCGAGATTTGGCAACAAATCAAGACAAATTTCTTGCAGCAAAGTCGTTCTGTTCCGAGGAAAGTTTTGTTTTACACTGTGGATATCACAGACAACATTTATTACTAGCTAATATGTTCTAGCAACTTCGACAGCTTCTGCAGGAGTCATTTTCATTTGCCTCTTAGACCAAGCATAAAAAACACTACTGATGTCACCAAGTTCAGAAAACTGCAATGAAAAATGGAGAGACCATTTAAAAATGAAATAATTTCAGTAGCTTCACTTTCAGTGGTTTGCTCTGCAATCCAGAATCTCAAAAAGAAATTACTACTAGTGCCACAGAACTGTCTATCCCAACTGAAGTACACAATTTAGAGTTCATTTGTGTTTGACACATCATTTCAGTATTCCAGCCAAAGGCCTGTCCCATTTTGTCTTACAAACTTATTTCTGCTGCAGTTCTGTGTTTTTTTTTCACCATCTGTACTTTAGTTGAACTTTACTTCAACATGCTTGTTAAAAGAAATTCAGATTTCTGAGATTTCATGGTTGAATCATCCCATGCTACAGAGGACAGGTAGGTTCTTCCAGGGATCTTCAGCAGAATGAAGAACAGCCATAGGGCTGTGGTTACAATTAGAGCTTTATTATTACACAAAAACATTAGTGATCAGCATACCTTATTGTATCTACAATTTCTAGCACTTAGCTTACAGTTAACCTAGAATTCCTACAATCTACCATAGCTATCTAATTACATAGAATACTTAGTTACCTGGACTTCTCAGTCACCTGGACACTCTGCAGATCATGTGTCAAATTCTCAATAATCAATCAACACACTACAATAATTACAGGCTACATTCAGGCTTTACCTAAAAGAACACATGCCACTCAATCCTCAGAAGTAGAAGATGATAGTAGAGATAGTAGAGGTGTCCATGGCCACTGATGGATCACAGGTTTTACTGTCCAGTAGCAGTTTTAACCCCAGTCCTTAGAAATGGTGCTGCTTGATTTTGAAGGTAATATTTCATATGCTTTTATCACATCCCTACTCTGTGACAGCTGTCACCACATGCTGGTGTGGCCCCAGCACCTAAGTTTTGATAACAATGGTGGGCCACGTTGGTCACACCACCAACAGAAAGCTTGCCTGTCAACATCCTGGCACTAGAAATGGGGAGACAGAAAACTGGCAGGGGGTGATATGTTACCAGCCTGTTTACATATTGTGGTTGCTTGTTAAACTCAGTACTGTGGGTCAGAGCCAAGGAGTACCAGTCCCCAGTCACATACCTGCCTCAGGAAACTTCAGCAGAACATATGCTATTCTAATAGGCAGCTATACTCATGTTTTTTTCTCTAGACTGTTGCTTGCCAACCCAAAAAAATTCCAGAGGTGATTCCCTAGATTCCTCTTCGCTAAAGCTCATTGCTAGTTCCAGTTCCTGACATGAGTCTCCTATGAGTATGCATTAGAAACCTGCTGCCCTTTCCCCACCATTGCAGCTTCCTCCTCTGGCCTGAGTGCAGCCAAGATTGTCATTTTTTTTTCACATTCTTCTTTCCAGGAAGAATGCATATCACCATCTCAGAGTGATCGGTTGTGTAATATAGGTAGGCTTGAAAGCTAACTTCCACCAGTTATAAAAGCAGAGCCAGCAGAGGCTGGGATGCTGCTGAATATCTCACAGGTTCTTCTATTTATTGCCTATGACCATACCATGTTACTTCCAGTGTCTACTAACTCACTTGAATGCCAGATTTCAGCACTGTGAGCTCTTTTAGCACGGACATACTTTGTGTGCTACTTAGCCTCTCCAGACCGAGTATCCCAGCCCGGGCAGTACTGCCACCAGTCCTTGCTGACCCCTGGAGAGAGCCCATCACTTCGTGCGAGCCTTCACGCCTATCGCTGCCCACGCATACAGCTGCACGTCCCTGCTCTGGGCTGAGCGCACCAACGGACAGCAGTTGCACGGCACAATCTTCCTCTCCAGACCCTTCACCATCTTCGTATCCCTTTTGGATGCATATATTTAAGTCCTCCTTATTCTGCAGCATCCAAACTGCACACAGCACGCGAGGCGAGGCGAGGCAGCACCAGAACGGGGCGGGGCGATCCCCAGGGAGGCTGCAGGGCTCTGCCGGCCGGGGCTGACGCGTGCTGCGGGGCAGGGCCGCAGCCGGAAGCCTTGGCACCCCCGAGCTCCAGGCGGCGTTTTCCTCCTCGCAACCACTGTAGCGGGGCTAGCGGCTTTCGGCCCGCTCCGCCGTCGCCCCCGCCCCGCGGCCGCCGTGCCGGGGGAGGTGCTGGCGGGGCGGGGCGCACCGCACCGGGCCCATGTCGGCTCCGCGGGCCGCCACGCCGGGCCCTGGCGGCGGGGCTCGGAAGATGGAGCTGGAGCTGGAGCTGGGGAGCAGCACGCAGACGTCGCACCGGCTGCTGGCCTACAGCGACGCGCTGCTGTCCATCATCGCCACGGTGATGGTGAGCGCCGGCCGTGGGGGCCTGCGCGGGGCCCGGGCCCTCTCCGACGGGCGGAGGCTGGGCGGGGAGGGACGGGGGCTGCGCCCCGCTTGCCCCGGAGCCGCTGCCCTGCCTTAAGGACCGAACCCAGCGCCGTGCTCAGCTGCCGAGCTGTGTTTACGTTCCCCTCCCCCGCCCTTCTCCCTGGAGGGATCACCGCCGTCTGTAGGAGCAGCTCCAGGCGTTTGCGAGCAGGTTCCGCGAACGAGTTCGGGGGTAGCATTGCTCTTAATGAGTCGTTATACGAGCCCTGAGTATTTGCACCCTCCTGAAGTTCGTTAGGTTTTATAATGTTCTGACTTGTACTAATAGAACTTTGTTATTTCAGATTTTGCCTGTGGCTCACACGAAAATACATCCCGATCAGGTACCTTCTTTGCCGTTTTTTGGTCATCTCTCGAGTCTTTCGAAATGAATTTTGCATCCTAATGCAACGCCCCTCTTCCATTCAAAACCTGAACTCCCAAACCATTAGTGTTAAGCCTCAAAGAGGAGCTGTATAGCCTGAGGTGAAGAACTTAGATGCTGAAGGCCTGTGTAGTTTAAGAAAGCCATGATATAAAGCCTTAGTAAGATGTATGGATTATGCAGGCCATAGATCTTGTGCAGTTATTTTGTATGGAAATGAATGACCTACCTCACTGAAGTATCTGTTAGAAAACATGATTGCATCTTGTTTGCAATACATCATCAGTTAGAGAAGCCACTTAGTATAGCATAAAATGAATGTGAGTTTTAAAATCAGGCTAATCATAACTAATCAGAATAAAGGTGGAAGAAAAAAGGACTACAGAAAATAAATCGAAAGAAGCACGAGTGTTGGGCAGTGTAAGTTAATCATTTGAAAAGACTCACAGTTCCAAATCACAGTATGTGTTTCTTCTCTTAAAAACAGCCAGACTCAACTCTGAGCATTTTGTCTAATTTACTTCAGGAGACTCAACTATGGTCCATGGTCATAGCAAATGTGCTGCATGAGTCTACGAGTAACTTCTTTTAATCTTTCATTTCTATCTGGGTGTAACTTCTTATTTTGTTTCAGAAACTAGGTGAAAGTGTTCAGCAACTGCTTCTAACAAAAATTGCGGTGTACTTGATGACCTTCTTAATAGTCACAGTGGCATGGGCAGCACATGTAAGGTAGGATGACAGAAAAATGTTGAACTCCATTGCAAAGTTAAAGAAAAGTTCTTGTTTAAAAAGTTGGGAGGTTTTTTGTTTTTATGTTTTTATGTTTTTATGTTGCTGTTATGTTTCTGGATTTTCTTAGTAAAAAATTCTTCCTAAAGCCATGAATAAATATATTTCTCCACAATGGAAACTGTGATATGAGAAAAAAACAAGCATTATATGTCTTTAAAATTAGAATTGCTCTTTATTTCACTTAATAGTTTCAGTGGAATTAAAATTATGCTGAAAAATTGACAATTGTGAGGTTGTAAGTATAGAAATAGAAGAACTCAGTATAGCCAGCTTAAAATTTGACTTTGTCTGTCCTAAGGGGTGCTTCTCGCAAAATCAAATGTGATGTTGTAGGTGCAGCATTTTACAGTGCTGTGTATGCTGCCACTACACTGTATCTTAGTAGCTAAATGAATATGCAGAGATGAATTAATTTACAAACATTCACTGGAAGTAGGGCAGCAAGCAAGTTTTTTCTTCTATGCCATAGCGTTCTAAGAGTTTTTAAGAGTAAGGTCAGCTGGTCCTTTTTCAAATCCATTAACAACAATGTGGATTGTGTTCTAGTGAAATCACTAAAAATTACCTCTTTGCTTTCTTTAGAGCTCAGCTATTTGTAGGCAGTTCTGATTTGCCATTTTTCCCCCTAGTATCATTCCCAAACATATATGGTAATTAAGTGGAAAGCAATTATAACCCAATGCAACATATTTTTTTCTTCAAACATATATATATTAATCCTTACTGTATGCCTTGCAGTGCTAACAAGTGAGATGGAATGTTGCCACTGGTCTTTGTTTGCTATAATTCCTTTTGAGTAAAGAGATAAACCTCTACATTCTTAAGGAAAATGAAAAGCATAATTAAGTGCTTTAAGTCAGCTAGAAAGCTGTGAGTGGATAGTATAGTTTTAAAGGACTCATGACCTGAATAAATGTTACCCTCACTATAGTGTTGCTAGGCTCCTCTCAGTCAAGCTAAAAATCAAGGTAACTGCATCTTACTCTCTGCTCAAGTAACTCTGCAGCTTACTGGAATCAGGGCAGTGTTTGTTTGAATTCTTAAAATATATAAATGTTGCTGCATTCCTTCCCTTAAGGAAGTGGATTGATTCCATCCTCATAGAGATGCAGCCTGTAATTCAATTCCTGAAACTGGTCACATCAGTGTTTTTGTTACATTGTACTTCTTGCCTGCATAAATGAATGTTGAAGGATGGTTTTTAAGAAATTTGTTGGGGTTTTTTTTGTTGTTGTTGTGGAGGGTGGTGGGTGCCATTGATTCTTAGTAATGCTTATGTACATCAGGAGCTTCATTAACAAGATGTGTGGCAGTTTGGAAGAGTTCATTTGCTTTGTGCAACAACTTGTGCTGTATCTTCAGGAGAAATAGTTTTAAGCCTTGGAGTTCTGCAGATAATCAGGCCCTAACAGCATGAACTTAACTCCGTTCTACAAGTGAGATTCAGAGAAAATGACAAAAATAGCTCTTCACAATGGCATATGAGGCTGAGTTCAGAGGCTTTGGATGGTCTCTGAAATCTGCATCTTGCAGACCAGTGCAGTCCTATTGCTTGGATTCTGTCACAACATACTTTAGCACCTGAAAAGTGAAAAGTCAACCTGATGACTGTATATTTGTTTGTGGATCAGAGTATCAAGTGGACTTGATATGGTACTTGTGCATGAATCCCAATATCTTTGATTTTGCTGAAGTGTGACACCCATTTGTAGCCCTATGCCTTATTAGGATTTTGGTATGTGACTAGATGGATCAGTGCCGCCATCTTCTTTGCTCTTTGACAACAGAATTGGCTTTAGATAACAGTTAATTTTACTTTGCATCTACCTTTGTACAAGTGAGGTGGAAGGTTAGAACTCAAATATCAGGTGCAGTGGAAGGATAGAACAGACACACACATGCAAAAAAAACCCAAGTTGGTATGTCTTATGCCACATCTCCTTTAAACAGAAGTTAATTGCTCTGCAATTGATCTAGCTTTTCAGATTTTTCTAGCAAGTGACTTCATGCTTGATTGAGTTTTGGTAGCATTTTAATTACTTGCATAAGTTCTAGAGTAGGGGGAAGTCAGATTTCTCTATACTGCGTATATAAATTGTATGTTGTGTTGCAGTGCAGATTTTTGGATCTGTCCTGTTCATGGTATCTTGTCTTGCCAGGTTATTCCAGGTGATAGAGCTTATAGATGATGTCCTTGCTCTTCTAAATCTGGTGAGTATTACCAGGTATGCTTGGTGATTAACTATCAAATATATGCCACTTTTTCCTTAGTATGCGTCTATGAAACAGAAGGCTTCTAATTAACTCTGCCAAAGTTCCTGCCAAAGGCAGGAGAAAAATAGAATTCCTCCTAGGCAGACTTGTGATAGAAAGCTAACTTGCTTGTATTTTGCATGTGTTTTACTGTAAGCTAAAAGAACCTCTGCACTTCTACTGGAGGAACTAAGAGGCACCTAGGCAGAAAGATTTTGACCCTTGCGGTCAGTATTGCTCACGTATGTCCTCTATGTAATGCTGTGTCATTTGTAGCAAAAATTAGAGCTGTGAATCTGAGTTTCAGTTGTGATTTCAGCCATTTTTCTGTTGAAATTCATTGTGGAGTGTATTTAAAACAGTATTATATGGTCTTACTGCTGAGATAGCAGTCTCTAAAGCAGTGTTTTGATTTCTCTTTCCTAAATCTCATAAGAATTCCTCACTTATCTGAGAGGGTGTCTATTTGAGCCATGCTGCAATGCCTTGGTTGCTGATAGATGTAATGGAATGCTACCCTGGGGTACATATTCCTGTTTTAGCTAGAGCTTTGTAAAACGGTCTAAAATGTTGTTCTCTTGACATTGCAATCACAGCTCCTTTAATTTTTATCAAAAAAAAAATTCTGAATGTAAGTTCCTTGAGAACAATGCAGGAAATTATGTAGGAAGAGCTACTTAAAGCATGTAACTCTTCACTAATTTACCCTTTAAAGCAGTGTCTGCTGTAAGCTTTTGTTGTTGTTTTTTAATTTGACTTTACTATGTTTGAGATATTTGTGATCAAAAGTTAATAGCTTTGGCTAGGGAAAACCAGAAGCACCTCTTAAAGATTCTGTGTGGTACTTTGGGCAAAGAAATCTAGCAAGAGATCTGCCACAAGCCACTCTTACCAATAGTACTGGTAAGAAAGCTGTAGTGTTTTCTGAAGTAAACCTGAACACTTTGGGATAGGAGACATGAAAGGTGGGTTTGAAACTAGCCATATATTATAGTAATAGCTCAGCAACTTCAGAAATGTTTTGTTCATGATGCAGCATTTGAGCTTTTGTGTTGCTTACTCTGTTTTGAATTATGTGATTGTTTGCTTGTAGTGTACCTAG